AGAGAAGAGAAGAGAAGAGAAGAGAAGAGAAGAGAAGAGAAGAGAAGAGAAGAGAAGAGAAGAGAAGAGAAGAGAAGAGAAGAGAAGAGAAGAGAGGAATTAAATAAATCAAATTAAGCCATGAGCTAGTATTCTCTCCAGTGACTCCAGTGTTAGTGCGGTCGCTCTAAGCCCGGCTGCGTTCCGTGCTGTGTTCAGGTGTTATTCGCCAGGCACCGGAGGCATCTGAGCCGTCCCGGTGGGTCGGAGCCGCCCCCCAGAACCGCGAGTCCCGTCGGAGGCAGCGGGGCTGGTCCCGGCCGTGCCGTGCCGTGCCGTGCCGGGGCTCCTCCTGGCCCGGAGCTCTCCAGCGTCCTGAACCGGCTCCGCCTCAGCAGCGCCAGAACGGGGACAAATCCCAGGCGGCCCCGCTCCCCCGGGATTTCCATGGATCCTTTTGCACGTGTGTAGGATTCAACACATTCCTTGGCGTGTTCACAGCTTTGGGCTCAGGGATGTGCCACCAGGGACAGGGCACAGCACAAGGACAAGGAACTGGGACATTCGCTGGGCTCAGTTTAGCAGCAAAATGACACAGACACTGTTTGAACTCTAACATACAAAAATCGCTGTGTGTTCTACACAGTCCCATTCTTGATAGACTTACAACTAATTGTTGAATTCAGATGTGATTGTCATTTAAGGTATAATTGTGGGTTTTTTTATGAATTAGAAGTGAAAAAACACATTTGGTGGGCTGAATGAAATGCTTAAAATTATTTTACCTTAGCTAATCTTTCAGGGTCCCCAGGATGTCTTGGGATGACCTTCTGCAGTCTTTGGAAGCCGTAATCTATGGTAGGTTCATTTAAAGCTGGAAAGAAAACATCAAACCCCACCACGTTATATGGCTGTATCTAAACATGTACTTTTATATGGCTGTATTTAAACATGTACTTTTATATGGCTGCATCTAAACATGTACTTTTATATGGCTGCATCTAAACATGTACTTTTATATGGCTGTATTTAAACATGTACTTTTATATGGCTGTATCTAAACATGTACTTTTATACGGCTGCATCTAAACATGTACTTTTATATGGCTCTGTCTCAATAGGGCAACAAAGAAATCATGATTTCTGCACTCAAAGCTGCTCCTGTTTCCCTGGCTGAATTCTTACCCTCTATCAAAGGCTGAATGAATAATTTGCAAGATGCAGCAGCACTGTCACAAAATATTCCTTTTAGGATGTACGTTTCACTCTGGACAAAACCATGACAGCAAGAAAGCAAATTATGAGACAAGAACACAGCAGAACAGGTCTTCTCCTGCTGGTTGCGCAGGCAGAAATCAGGCAGTTTATCAGAGGAGTGTTTGCTCCTCTAATAAACACATTCCACACACGCCCCCAATGTTTTGCAGTCCCGAAGTAGGGCACAGTTATTCATCAGACACATTCCCTTCCCCAGTTGTGTGTTCTGCATACTCTGCCACTTCCCTGTAATGATCTTAATCTCTGGTGGATAAACCAGGATATTTTGACCCAGATCCTCAGTTAGCAATAGCTGGCAGAGCCCTACTGGCATCGTTGATGATTTCAGAAAACTTCTGACACTTTTCTAGTCTCTGCTAGGAAATCGCAGCAATAATACTCAATTTTCTGATTATTCAAACTAATTTAAATAGGTGCAAAACCCAAAAGTCAGCTTACAGCATTCTCTGTGCTCGGGCTCTGCCTGCCTCTAACACCTCAGCAGTGCCACCGAGCACCAGCACTGTTACAGGGATGTTTTTCTTTGAGTTCCCTTGTTCTTCAGAATGCACATTTTAACAGAAATGACACATTCATGCTGAGGATTCTGCAAAGAATTTCATGACACATTTAATAAGTAACATATGTAAGTCCTTTAGCACTACCCTCAATCAGTGCTGGCTTAGACCTTCTTGTACCATTTGTGGTTCTTTTGGGAGGGAAAAAAAAAAATCTTTTTTTTTTTAAATAACTAGCACTGTCACTGGCATGGCTGAAAAACCCTGATTACAAGAGATGCTGTTGGTTCTTATTGAATGATCCAAAATATCCTGAGCACCTCACAGGAGAACCATCTTCTGCACCAGGAGAAGAACCCATCACGTGAGACAGAGTTTTACACTGATCCAAGTTCCCTGTTTATTCCTGTTCCCTGTTTATCCCTGTCTGCCTTTAGTATAACAACATGAAAGTAAAAGGTCACATTCTCCACTGAGATACATTTTATATTTACTTTTTGTTAAATAATTATGGCATGGCATGAAGTTTAAATATTACAGGAGATAATCAAGTGGGAATTGAGCAGAGAAAACCCAGACCTGAGAATTTAGTCTTGGCTATACTTAGAATGTCTTTGCTCTCCACTGGGAGCCATTCTGGTTTGCTGAAGGAGTTTAATAATACACATTTCAACTGCCACAGAATCTACATCCCGTTTGGGAAGAGGAGTTTTTTGGGGGTGGGCTATTTTGCCAATAATCCTGAGAATTAGAGGCCAATTCTCTCAAGAGCCTAAACATCATTATGTGCCATTTCTCTTCTTGATCACAAACCTATTCATTTAAGTGATATATCTAAAGCTAAAGAAATGTGAAATATATAGGAACCCAAACATGTGAAATATACAGGGGTTCAAATATATATAAAGTTACTAGAAATAGCTAGTGGGAATATGCAAAATGCTAATTCAGGAAGAAGAAGTTGGCTATTATTCAACGAACATTTTTCCAATGGATTGACATGGACAGTTTCATCCTGATAGATCAACAGCAGCAAATCATTTCCCAGCAATGCTGAATTGTTCACAGGGCTCAGCCATCCTGAATCAATGTGTACATTGTCTTTCAGCACAAAGGTTTTCTGTACGGCCTGCAACAAAATTGCCCACTACTGGTTTTACTCATTAATGGAACAAAAATATCTCTGTTACGAAATCCTGCGAAAAACCAGTACCAAGTATTGGAGGAATAAATGACACCTTCCCAAGTGAAGGCCAAAGATGAAGAATTCACCAGCAAGTTTAAGCAGCTTCCCCACAATCCCACTTCCACTGAGGAAAGAGCTGCTGGCTCAGGAGTGATTTATCTGTATGTTGCATAGAAATATGCCAGAATTATATCCAAATGTTCATGGATTCAGAGACCATAAAGGGGTCTGACACACAAGCAGGCTGTTCATTGTTTCCTAGAAATCAGATATCTGAAATGAAACCCCTCAGAAAACAGGCTCAGGTACGAAATCCCTTTGGCAACCCTCAAATCCAGAGTTTCAGGATCAAGGGGTCACTTAAACTTCCCAAAACAGTTTAAAAAACTGGGTATGGCATGATATAATTTATGCACAAAAAGAAAAGCCACCTAGGGAATAAACTAAATTATCAGTGAGCCTGTAAACCTCTCAACTGTTTTAACAACAGAATTATTGCATAAGAGTAGGCACAGATCTAAATGTGTCACCAACTATCTGACTTTATTTGTGTGAGCCTCAGAGTCTGGACAGTGCTTCCTCTTGGATGTTCTTTACCCCTCAAAACCTTTGTTTTCATCTTAAACACAACTATCCTGACTTGCACATCAGACTGGTGCTGCTGCCACCCTGGGAGATGTGGGAAAGGCACGTCCATGTGCTGTTCTTCTCCTGGCACAGAAGATGGTTCTCCTGTGAGGTGCTCAGGATATTTTGGATCATTCCAAAAGAACCATCAGCTCTGCAGCTCACCTTGGATTTACCCCACAAAGCACAGCACAGGGAAAACCTGTGAAGAATCAAAGTCTGGAGATCTCTAGATCAAAGTCAGGAGAATCAAAGCCCGAAGATCTCTAGAAATATCCTGAACCCTTCAAGCTGTGGCACAGGAAGAGCAGTTTTGGCATTGGGCTGCCCAACCTTTAAGGTGTTAACAGAGAAAAGGCACCTGTGGTATCAAGCTTGAATCATGGAATGGTTTGGGTTTTTTGGGTTGGGAGGGACCTTAAAAATCACCTTGTTCTACCCTGCCACCATGGGCAGTCATGCCTTCCACTAGTCCTGGATGCTCCAAGCCCTGTCCAACCTGGCACTGGACACTCCCAGGGATGGGGCAGGCACAGCTTCTCTGGGCAACCTGTGCCAGGTCCTCACCACTCCCACTGGGAGGAATTTCTTCTGTAAATCTCACCTGAATTTCCCCTCTTTCAGTTTGAATCCATTACTCCTTGTCCTGTCACTGCAGATCTTGATGAAGGGTCCCTCTCTGGTTTTCCTGTCAGCCCCCTCAGATCCTGGAATTCTCTATTTCCCCATGTTTCTCACAGGCTAAAGCAGTGACAGCAGGAAATGCTTCATCATCTCAGCTTTTTCTGTCCAAGGGAACTCGCTCTTCCAATTTATAGAGCTCTCTGCATCCTTGTAAGTGTTGTTTCTCACAAGCAGAAAACAAGAGCTCCAATCTCCTTACAAGATTTAGCACCTTCCCATGCCTGGATCCTGGCACAGAGGCTGATGCAGCACAAACCAGAGCCCAGCCTCTCCCACAGACGATTTTATATTGCTTTGCTCTGACAAGGTAACCCCTGGAGGATTTCTGCTCAGCAAGGAAAATTATGTTCCAAATCTCCCTGATATACACATTTCCAGGTTAGCATCCCTGTGACAAAGTAAATGCAGGGCTGTGATCAAAGCTGAACTACGAAAGCCTACACGACGTGCCCTCAGCTGGCATAAACTGGTGTGTTATTAAAACCAGGGGAACTATAATGGAACCACTTACAGCAGCAAAGAATTTGAATTTGTGTCGTATTAAAAGCAGAATATGAGGCTACAGCAAGGTTAGCAGCAGAGAACAAATGTCTTTTTATTCCAGGAGCAGCTGATGAAGGGAAAGCAATTCAGAACAGGGATGTGTGTGCAGCCTGTATCCTCACCAGATGAAGGCACACACAGGGACTAAATGCCTGGGTGAGGCTGTGGGATCTCATCCTGTTGAGATTTTTACCTCAGATGATTTTAAAGAAGGTTTTGATCTCAGGCTGTGGTGGACAGTATACTGAGGGGGACACCTAGTTGGGTCACAGTGAGAACTGTGAGTTTTTGGGAGCCAGTCTGCAAACAGGACTATCCTATATTTGCTCAGGTTTCCTGTTCTTTTTTTCCATTGGTTCAGGAATTTTTTTCTTGTAAGGTCATGTATTGCGTTCACATTCAGGATTGGACCTTTGCCCTCAGATGCCCCTGTATCTGGCTGCCCACGGGTTTTTGGAATCTAGCCTCTGTAACCTGTGGTTGTCACGTTTTGTTATTTTCATTATTAAAGCTTTTTTCTGGGCTAGTCCTTTGCTCCTGTTCCTCATTTTTAGCCAGCTTCTCCTGGCCAAGCCAAGCAAGGAGATCACAGCGAACTTCCTTATGTGGTGATTTAAAAACAGGCTTTTATCTCTCATTTTAAGTATTTCATCTGTTACTTCAGCTGCCAAAGTTGGTTCAGCCAGCTTTAGCTGCCATTGCCCTCCAGTGAGCCATTTGTCTGGCTTTTGCTGTACTCTCCAGCACATCATTACAAGTCTACAGAATCCTGCTGGCTTCCCTCTGCAGGAAGTTTTCCAGGTGGGAACCTTATGGAAAAGTCCACACGTCCCATTTTGGCGAGGAGAGGAGGCTGATGGCCGAGTTGCAGCACCCCTGAGTGAGAGCACTTGGGAGTGGAGACACTGAGAGCCCCAGAAGCTCAGCAGTGCCAGCACAGCACACTCTGCAGAAGCCCGACATGAAGACACATTACAGGGCACAGATAAGCTCCCTTAACAGCCTCACTGTGCCAGTTAGATTTACCCTTGAAATGTACAGCTGAATTTTTATATTCATCTTTCCAACAGTCTGTCATTTTCTTCTTCAAACGATCTTAGTGTGACTCTTTTCCAAGAAAAGAAAAAATAAGAAAGAAAAAAAATCAAATATAATCAGGTTGAGCATAAATATTTGGTTGTATATTCTGTAGGCAGACCCATGCTGTGACAGCAGTTGGGAAAAATATTAATGTGCAGGAAATTAGGAAACCTCCTCCTTACACCCCCAAATGTTACCACTGAGAGAGTGGTCTTCGACAAGCAACACGGTTAATTAATTAATTAATTAATTAATCACCAACACAGCTCCTGCAGCCCAAATCCCAGGCACCCACCTGTGTAAATGAACCTGCCTGGTGCTCCTTTGCAGAACTGCTTGGATTTGTAGGATAATGTCACCTCCACCACGCCGGGAATGTGCCGGGGAGGCGTCTGGACGCGGATGGCGTGAGGCGTGATCAGCTGGGAAGGGCAACAGCAGAGGCACCATCAGGTGTCAGTTCTGCTCTTTTACTTCATGAGTAAATCACAGAAAAGGTTGGGTTGGAAGGACCCTAAAGATCATCCAGTCCCACCCTCAGTGGGACCTTTCTCTATCCCGGGTTTCTCCAAGTCCTGTTCAGCCTTGGACACCTCCAGGGATGGAGCAGCCACACCTTCTCTGGGCTACCTGTACCAGGGCCTCACCATAAAAAATGTCATCCTCATTTCCAACTTTATTCTTGTTCACTGTAAAACCATTGCCCCATGACCTGCCATCACAGGCCTCAGGAAAAACTCTTTTTTTTTTTAATTATCACTATAGGTCAGCAGAGGGATACACCTGGTTTAGATCCTAGCCTCCAGGGAGAGGATCACACATTTTAGGATGGATTGGCATCAAGAAACCTGTACTGTTAAGCCCATTGTTTAATTCATGGCTTAATCCTGGGCCCAGATGGATTTTTTTTTCTTCTTCCCAAACTTAAACCCTCTCTTTATTTCTCTTCCTTTGCTTATGTAAATAAACCTGTGTAAATAATAAACCCTGTGGAAGAATTGGTAGAGTAACATTCATTAAGTTCATCAGTGGGTAAAAAAGGATATGGGAACATCAAATGTCTCCTTCAGCTCATATCAGGAGACAATTTCTAATAATTTCTTTGATTATAATTTATAGACACCTAGAATTGTTCCGTTCCATTCTGGGTATCATTCAATAATATCACAGAGCAAAGAAAACACATTCCATGGATTCCCTTCACGCGGGTTTCTGTGTCCCACGTCACACAGCACCATGGAACAGGAACAGGAATTAACCCCGTTCCTGCTCAGAAAAGGGAAGTCTCCACAGCTGAGGGGCAGAGGGGCAGCTATACCCACCTCACTCCACACCAGCATGGTCCCAAACACCACCTGCAGCCCATCAAAGAAGTTGTCCCCGATGATGATCACCATGGCTCCCCCCGTGGTCCAGCCCTCGCTTGGGCTGATGGCTTTGATGCAGGGCGTGGCTGCACAAAATAAATAAAAACATCAAAACATCTCTTCAAGGTGTCTTTTTTCATCCCCCCAGAGCTGCTTTGAGGCCTGGGTGTAAATCCCTGGATAAATTCCTGTGAGCATCAAATATCCCAAGTGATGCAAAACTGCAGCTGAGAGCTGCAGCTCCAGCCATCCACACCTGGGAATTCCTGAATTCCCACTGCTAGCAGAGGCCTTGGACAAGTCCCTTCCAGCCATTCACCCATGAAGGCTGCTCACCACTCCACAAACCCCAGTATTTCAATAAATAAATAAATAAATAAATAAACAAATAAATAAATAAAGGAGTGTTTTCTGCCTCGCAAGTGTTAATTACTTGCCTATTCATTACTGGCACTTAACATTGTGTCATTAAAGCCTAATAGGCCAACTGTAGTGGGTGTAAAAATGAAATGCTTAAATGATTGTGCAGAGACTGCTTTAAAAAAACAAAATAACACCCCCTGATTAGAATATGATCCCACAGACACAGACCCTGTGGAAAAAAAGGTAGAGTCACATTCATTACGTTTATCAATGGGTGAAAGAAGATATGGGAATATCAAATGTCTCCTCCAATTCATATCAGGAGACAATTTCTAATAATTTTCTTGATTTTATAGAGTCTTTCTTTTTTTTTTTTTTTTNTTTTTTTTTTTTTTTTTTTTTTTTTTTTTATTTTATTTTCTCTTCCATATGTTCAAGGCCTATGGACTATGCATCCCATCAGGAACCCAATATGGTTTCCAGGCCATAACCAAAGTCAATCCATCACTCCATTCCCAATGTTGACAGGGTCAGAGGTGGAGGGGAACTTTGGCAGTGCTCCAAAAACATGAGACTCCTTTGAACAGCCAGTCAATCACATCCAATCAGTCAAGGAAAAACTGGATGGCTTCCTAGGCTAGGAATCCTGGGATTTTCCTTCTACCATTTCACTGCCCGCTGGGGGAGAATTAACACCACTCTGAATTCTTTACTGATTCAATCATTTTCTTCCAGTTCATTAATTCTTCTTTTAGGCTGATACAGGGCACAGTTAAGAAGTGGGGCAGCAAAACATTATAATGAAATAATATCCTTGCTTGTCTTTTCTACTAACATCACCAGCTCTTCTCACTTTCAGTGGCTGCAGGAGAGGGAAAAGCAGGCACTGATAGCACTTCCCAGCATTTTCCAGTCATTTTTGAGCACTGTCTGCGTGCCAGAGGTGGAATGTTTCGGGAACGAAGAGGGAGAGGAGGGGCCGAACGTTTTGAAACTTAACAGATACAAGAATTTGTAATTGCTTGAATACAGTCCCCAACCCATCCTGGAGCTGGCCATGAGTCTGGCTTAGCCAAACAAACTCACATCAATTAGTGTCAGCTCCCTCTGCGCATCGTTAGGCTCCGTGCACAGTTTGTTTAAGGGAACCAGTGACACTTTTTCATACACATCTTGTGCTGCAACAGCTCTGTTTAAATAAGATGTCATCTTGCCTAATTTGCCTGAAATCAAATCTATCCCAGCTGAATGAGAGGGCTGAAATTTAGATAATACTTGGTGTTTCTGTGTTTTTCATCTTTGCAGTACATACTAATTAATAAATTGCAGGGGGATGGGGAGTCAGTCCCTTAGATGTGAGGAGGATCATATTTTGCATGCAGTAGACACTGTTTTCCTGCCTCTGCCTTCCCCAAACCCCCTGAGGCTCTGCAATTCCCCCTTAGCTCTCCTTCCCTCCTGAAAACAAACAGAAATGGAAGAATGGGTAATTTCTGCTCTGGTCTCCAGACAAAACTCCCACCTTCCGAGGGGTCGAGTCTTCTTGCTCTCCTCCCATGCTTGGAGTTGTTGTGCACGAACATGTTGTCAGACACTGCCAGCACATGCCCATCCACGTTCACTGTTGTCGATAGCACCACCTGGATATTTAGAAAGAGAAGGAAAAAAACAGCCAGGTAAACAGTTGATTTGAAATTCAACTTGTTAAGGATTAATTATTCAGTTCAGCTAAACCTTGTTTGGTAAAATGGCAGCATGCCTTGCAGGGGTTTAAGAAAGGGAGAAAATATTTTCAGACTTCACTCAGTGCATTAATTGCATTTAACACAGCATCCTGCGGGCTGTATAGAAGCCTCACTGTAAAATGACCCAACTCCTGCAGGATGAAAACTCCTTGAAAACAGAACCTAATATCATGCCTGGTTTTGACATGTGAGTGGATGGTGCCTCCTGAAAAATCATCTGAGCCTGAGCACTCCAAACCAAGCCTCAGGTTTTGAGCCTCAGTCTCCATGACTGGCCTCCAATCTGAATTCTTAGAGGAAATAACTGTATATATTAATGAACCCCACTTTAGTTTTTTAGTACCCAATGCTTTAAATCCCACCAATCCAGAAAGATGTGTGACTTCAAACCACAAACTTTTGGGGAAAATAAACAGTGTTTTAACTCCTGAAAGAAGCTGCCCTCTGACAGAGTGGTTTTGACCATTAGTTCGTGTAAATGAGCTTAATTCCATCCCACTGCCACACCTACAGTAATGCACAGCCATGGAGAGTCAAACCCTGGATGTGTTCATGGATTTTCACAGCCTCAGATGTCACAGCCGAGGTAAGAGAATGTCAAGCTCTAATTGTTGATAAAACTCTATCCAGCACAGAGCAGGAGAGACCTTGCCCTCCCCGGGCTTAGGCGAGCTTAAAGAATACTTTCTTTCTCGAGACAGCTCTAATTCATTCCAAAAGGCTCTTGTCATCCTGTACTCTTATATTTCTCAAGCATTCTTGTCACAGAATGTGTTGCTTTCGTGTGCCAACTGATTTCCTCATTCCCATTAGGGTGGGGTGTGACTCCATCCAAAGGGAACGTTTCCCTCATGACATAGCTGAGCCCACTCAGATGCACTTCATTATTTTCCCTTAAACAATGGAAATAAATTTTAGTCTCTCACTGGCCAGCCCAGAACACGCTGTGGCAAAGGGGAATAGGCCTGAATTATTCCAGTGTCTGAAATATTTATGACAAGTGTTTAAATTGCAACCAAATGTAAATAAAAAGTGTGTCTTGTATATACAGTTACACTATGGAATAGAGACATCTCTGAGCTCTCTTACACGAGTGGGATAAATGCACACCCACCTGCTCGCAGGAAGAGAGAACAGAGGCAGGCTTCAAGTGTTCACACATAGAATGGAACCATGGAATGTCCTGAGTGGAAAAGGGACCCACTGGGATCCTGGGATCATCCTGTCCAGCTCCTGGCCCTGCACAGACACCCCAAAATCCCACCCTGGGCATCCCTGGCAGCTCTGTCCAAACTCTCCTGGAGCTCTGGCAGCCTTGGGGCCGTGCCCGTTCCCTGGGGAGCCTGGGCAGTGCCAGCACCTCTGGGGGAAGAGCCTTTCCCAAAATCCAGCCTTTCCCAAAATCCAGCCTTTCCTGATCTCCAGCCTGACCCTCCCTGGCACAGCTCCAGCCGTTCCCTGGATCCTGTCACTGTCCCAGAGCAGAGGTCAGTGTTGGAATCACCTCTTGGGCTGTGCACAGCACAAGAGCCACATTTTGGTAGGAGATGTACAGATCCCCACAGCAATGGCAGAGGAATGGCAAGAACCAGTCCAGAAAACGTGCTGAGCATCCTCTGCTCCCTTGGCCAGCAGGAATGGAAGATGCACTTCCAGACCTCTCTCCACGTGCAGTCCCATTTTTATCCATCTCTCCCATCCATGACAGGAGGGCCAGAGCCACTTGGCCTGTCACAGGCTGGGATCCAGGGTAAATAAACACAACATCCTCATGGACAGGACGAGATGCAAAGTTCAGATCTGGAGCAGAACCTTCTCGAAATTTGGGACCCTTTTTGCTGTAATCTGAATTTTGGCAGAGATCTTTGTCATTGCTACACCACCACCACCCAACTCTTCACCCATGGTGTGGAGAAAGGACACGTGAGATCGTGGACATCAAAATGACTGAATTTCTTCACTTTGCCCCAGCTGTTCCCTCCTGCCTGATGGAGATCACAATACAATTGTTTTATTCTGGAGATTATAAACCAATGTTTTCTCGATAAAAGGAGGAGGAATGTGCATTCCACCATGGTCTCTAACTCCCAGGCCCTTCACTTTCACAAGCCAACTGCTTTCCCCCAGTGAGTATTTCCTGGGTCATGAAGGGTGACCCTTTCCATCTGGAATCAATCAGTCAACTCCTGACAACTTCCTGAAACACCTCACTCCATTTCCTGTTCTCTCCCCCTTCCCTCTTTCCCCCTGGTTTGCTTCACTCTTCAAAACTGCAGGCCACAGCAGCTTAATGTTAGAGGGTCAGACACAGTTAGACTCCAAAACACTACACAAGAACACCTTTGACCTTCAAAAATCTTTACATCTTAGCCAAACAAATCAAGGTCAACATTTCTTACCATTACCTTGTTAACCATTTCTATGCACTTTTGCCAATACCCTCCTGAACACGTATTTATCAACAACACTTGTTCGCCCAACATCGTAAAATAGTCAAAGCCCTTTTTAAAAAGCCCTGTCTTTAGTGCTGATGAAAGGTGATGTGAAAACTTCCCTGGGGATTTAAATTCTGATTTTCGCCCACAGTGTTGGCAAATGGTTCTGGTGAGTTTTTCTTTTCCTGCCCTGATGGCACCACTTGTTGTGTATGACAATTTGGCTTCTTTGCCTATTCTCAGTGGATGATCTTTTACCTAACACCATTTGTTAATGCAAAATTTAATCTAAGGGGAATGATCTGAGAACAGCAAAATAGGTCAGGGAGGCCATTACCAGGGTAATTGAGGCTGAGGGCCAAATTTTAGGCACAGACAGCATAAAAACTTCAGATTTTGTGCCACCCAAAAGCTGGACCAAACTGTCACCTCTGCTGAGATTTCAGAGCACAGCAAGCAAGAAGGAAATAGAGAGGGCAATGTTTTAATTCTTCATCCTCCCAAGCACAGATCCCATCTCCCTCAGAGCACTGGGGGAATTCAGGATTCTAAGCTGTTTTCGCACTCCTTGAGTTCTCCCTGCCAATCTGCAAAGGTTTTCTTATCAGCAGAGAGGCCAGAGCCATAAAGCAGCGATTCTCCCACAGTCCTGGAGAAATGCTGGAGCTGGATCTCCACATTATTTTTGTTTCCCAGGTGGATTTCTGTAATGCAATCCTGGCTCAGAACCCACACGGAGGGTTCACCTCCCGTGACATCCAGCCCTAGTGTCTTTAGCACTTGAAACTCGGCTTCTCTGAGCTGCACTGCCCCTCCTTCCCCTCCCTGCACAGTCAGGGGGTTGTGTTTCTTTACAAACCTTCACCTGGGTATTACAAATTTCCCTCCCCCAGCTATGTTATATCAGTATTTTTTGCATTCTAAAGTGTGCTGCTCTTCAAATCACAGATATGCAAATCCATTCACATCCCCAGATATAAAATCTGTATCAGTCCCAGACACCTATTTAGACATATGGTACAAACATTCCAGGCATACAGGCATTTACTTACATGTAACATATCTCATCACTGTGTAAATGATCTCTCTCAAAAAATTCCTGTTACCATTCCAAGTGTGGAAAAAATTCTTTATGACATTGTACATCTGGAAACAATATTGCATTCCTGATGCACTTTCCCTTGTAACTCTCTAGTCACAGCACCATGTTATTTTAACTTTTCGAAAAAAAAAAAAAACCTGCTATGAGGATTTAAAATTATTATTCTTATTCTTATTCTTCTTCTTATTATTATTATTATTATTATTGCTGTTGTTGTTGTTTTCCAGCTGAGGGGAAGGAAAGATGTTCGACCTCATCCTGCTGCCTGGACTTGGATAGGGCTCCCATTGATGTCAACAGGAATTTTGGTTGAGGCAGTAACACAGGAGGAGAGGCTGGATTTGATGGGTTTGCCTCAGAGATGGATGAGGAATAAGATAAACAATGTGCAAGATGCCAGCAGCCTCACTCTGCTCAAAACTTCCATGGAATTTTTTGGGAAATCCTCTCCAGGACCCTGAGCCTGCAGACTGGGAGCTGACAGCAAGCTGGGCACTCGCCCTTCACCCCAGGGAATCTGAAATTTCTTGGGACAGGGGCTGGACACCACTCCTGGGGCACTGACACCTTGTCTGCTGCTATTATCCACAGGCAAACCATGGAGCTGCTTCCATAAAATCATTTGCAACAATTTCCACCTTCTGCCTTTGACACTGGTCTTGTTTTAAAGCCTGGTGATGAGGGAATTTATGGCTTACAGCCTAAATTTATTCCTAGTCAGTTTATACTTAACATTACCTTTAAAATTATTCTTTCCCTTCTTGACCTTCCCGAGGGTAATTTCAGAGAGCAGTTCCACCCTCCTCAGTGCAAGGATTTGATCCATGCCCTTGTCCAGCCCCTGTCCCCTTAATGACCCATTCCTGCACCTGTTCCAAAGTCATTTTGCTCTCCTTTGACTGTAGTTAATCCAGTGTATTGCACCCAAACAAGAAATCACAGTGCAACAAATCCCCCTCCTTCCTGCTGGCAGTCTGAGACTGAGTGGATCTCATCTGTGGTTTGTTTTTAAAGGATGAGACATCACTCTGGGAACTGTCTTTCCCCATGGATATTTGGCCTTCAGATCTGAGCACGTTAAGCTCCTTGAGTATTTTTTTCTCTTGCAATTGAGTCACTCCTTCCCTTACTCACACAGAATCTAAAAAAACATCATCACCTTTTGTTGGGTCAGTCGGTACCTGATGAAGAAATCTGCCCCCTCCAGTAACAGGCCCAGGCTCTGCTGACACCAGCTGCATTTGTTTTAAAATCTCTGCCTGGGAAATTAGTCCCCCATCATGATTATTCCATGCAGCATTCACCTCTACCAGCAGTTCAGTGATCCCTAGCCATATCCCAGCCTGACCACGGGGGTC